GGGGTAACGAGGCCAGGAGGGGGAGGGGTGGATGGTTACATTAGATGTCACAGGAGATGGGAAGCCGAAATTTTTCCAGAATTCTAAAAGCAAACAGGACTCACTTTACTTTTTTTTAAAAACTTTTTCCTTCCTATGGTATCCTTAAGATGTCGAAGGGAAGTGCAAGTTTCAGTCTTGTGCTAGGTATGTATGTGTATGTGTTAGATATGTTGTGTTGTTACAGGACCTTTTTAACCCCATCCAGCCAGGTCTTTCTCGGTCTTCCTCTTGATTTGAAGCCAGAATCTCGGGCGCTGTAAGCTCTAACAGCTAGCTGTTTCTGGGGCATTCTGGTTAGATGTCCGCAAATAGGACCCTACTTTGCTAATACCGTTACTATTTTCTATAATATAGCAAACAATAGGATGTCATAACGAAAAAGTAATGCTTCATTGTGTGTTAAACTCTAGATATCATGATGATTGAGAAAGGAGAAATCAGATCACTGACAAGATGGTCAATATAGGAAGGAGAGTAAGCAAAGTAACAGAAAATCACACACAAACTTACCCACTTAGCCTACTCACAGGACCATGATTTTCCAAAAGAATATCACTTCACGTGTGTAAAAAATACCGGTTGTTAGAAAAATTGACTCACCTAGAGTCCGGTTTATTCTAATATTCCAATCTGGGTACAAGCCCAGCTCGCGCTGCATCGTTCGCTGTCAATCGGCCTCCATCATCCATCCACCTCTTGGTGGGGTCTTCCTTCGTTGGCCGCGCTGTGAGCTTTGACGAGTCGGGAGCGAGGGCCCACTGTTCCTGAGCTTGCCTCGCGCCGATAGAGTGGGGAAGAGAGATGAGACTGAGAGCTTCAGTGAACCGTGACGAAAGCAGGGAGAAATCGCACCGCTATTTCGCCACCTTACGCGCGCTTACTTTATCTGGTTTTTATGTTTTTGTGTTATCTTTCTGTCTTCCTGTTATTCTCTCTCTCTCTCTGTGTTACACTTCCCCACTCTCTCTCACGCTTTTGTCTCTCTTTTCTCTCTCTCTCTCTCTCTCTCTCTC